ATTTTTTATCAAAGAGCACTTCTTAGTAAAAATAGGTTACTTACATTGCAAGTAATGCAAAAGTACTTCTTAGTAGATTTCAATACTAAACTATCATTAATATTATTCTTATTATTATCATCATTGCTATAATTATATATTAAGCTTATAAACACTCTTCTTTGTTTTGAAATATTTTGCACTACTTCTCTTTTTTCTTCTTTCTTCTTCATCTTCTTCATCTTCTTCTCCTCCTCATCTTCCTCTCCTTCTTCTCCTTCTTCTCCTCCTCCTCTTACTCCCCTCTTTTTTCCCTCTTGTCTTGCCTTTTTTTTACTGGACAGCACTATCATCCAAACAATATACTTCATTCATTTAAATCTTAGCTGAACACAAGGTATTGTTGATTTTGATGCACACTTAACCCCAATTATCCAATCTACCATTAGGTCCATTGGGGGAAATCTCTTTCCAACAAGTTATCCAGAGCAAATTCAGTCTTATCCTATAGTACACTGAGAAATTTACTCAACGAAAGTGTTATTTAAGAACAGCTCAGACCTGGAGTCTAAACTTAACTTTGCTCCAAGAATACTTAAAATCATTTCAATCAATGACTCTAAATTATCTAAAATTACAGGAAAACAGCAGGAAACACTTGCAGATTGCAGTACGTCCTGCTACAATTTGTGGAAAAGGCAAAAGTCTGAAGCTTGTAATGATTTCTATGAAAAAAGTGCAGCCTTAATGATGTAAGCCATAGAAATCATTTAATAATGTTTTATTAATATACTTTTAAACCATGTGTACAACGATGTACAGTTAGTTGTATTTATTTTATTGTATTTCCACTAAAACTGAGTTACAAAAGTTCCCTGAGTTTAAAAATGTCATGTTTTTCAGCTAACCCTCTAAATCTGGCTATGAGTATATACTTTAAAAAATTGAGAGAAAGTATATGGATGACAAACTAATAACGATAGAAAGGTTAAACAAAATGGATGTGATAAAGGTGTTCACAGCTGTCACAAAAACTGTCACTATAGGATGTCATGAAAATCACAAAAACACAATGCTAAACTATACAATGAGACGGATGATTTACATTCAACATGCAACTATAACTAATACTATTATCTAGGATTTACAGAGGCATTACATGGTTTTCAAGCAATACCACATCACAACATCTATAAATCAGTTGATGCTATGTCAGGCATGGATGCCCCAGCACAGAAACAAGGATTGTGTGGCGGTACTGTTTAAAAACATGATGCTGTCTGAGAGAGAGAGTGAGATTAGCTAATTGCTATGCTATAGCATAGGATGCACGGAGCTTAACTGCACACGATATGATTCGACTGTGATCCAATTTAGAATGAAATTGTAATATTATCATATGTGACAATTTGAAAATGTGAATTCTTCCTGATTACTACCCATTCACACAAACAAGGCTGAGATACGACCGATAACAGACAAAATATAGCATTACATCCACCTGATGGCCGAGAAACAGTCGCTTTGGACTTAGTTTGGAACCTGTTAATTTGGCAGTGTGACTGAGGTTTAAGGTCATGAATAAGTATACCATAAGCAATATTGTTGCAGAGTATTGTGTTCCTTACAATTGGAAGAAAAGGGGAGACTTGAATCTATGAGTCATAGGGGCGTCAAACTACATTAGATGGAAGAATGTGCCTCAATCAAAGCCAATTTGACCTTTGGTCCACATAACATTACAGCTTCATCTGAATTATTCTTATATCTAGAAGAACCTCAATCAGGAAGATTTTGCATATAAATAAAAACATTATTAAAAAAAATAATTGTAATTTCTCCAGCAATTGGATCACAGTGAGATTGCACAGTGCATTTCGGGCTTGACAACTGGATGACTGACAACTGACATTTACAACAACAAATAATACAATTATTAAGAAACGTGAAACAATAGAGACAAAATCAACTATTCAACAAGTGTTAGTGTTATGAAGCTATTGATGAAAGCACATTCAATAATGCTGATGACTTTTACCACAAAATCAAGCACTACAAGTAGAAATGTGCACTGAATCATGCAATGATGTATGACCACTCTCTGCACTACAAAATGTCAAATTTGCAATGATGCTACACTACAGATTACTTCAATATTGTTACACTGTAATTCACAGCTGTAAGTTTTCTTGACTAAAGTTTAGTTCACTATCATCATACTTTTGAATTACTACAGTTCAATTTTGTTTGTTAAAAATTAATCCATAACTGTTAAACTGTTGTTCTTTTTTTTTTTTTTTTTTACTTTTCTTGATTGTATTTTAGTTCATAGTCACTGTACTACCGTCAAAAGCAGCACAGACTTCGAGATTGAGTTTTACGTAATTATATTTGTTGTGGAAATGGTCTAGATTTAAAATTTTTCACCTACTCTATTTTATGTCACTAGCTATTAATTATAAATTGCAAATGTAAAATCAACTTGTGCAGTGAAGCAGTGTAGCAGTGTGTTTCTCATAAAAAAAGCAAAGTTTCAAAGTCGTGCAAAGGTTTGTGATCGCCCATATTTTCACAAAGGAAAATCAAGATGCCCTTTATGCTTAGTCATCATTAAAAAACTCATTAGTTCATCACAACATGGAGTAACACAGTTTCAAATTTACTTTTCAAATAGGAATCTTTAAGAATCTTTAACAACTACTTGACCCCAAATCCAAGCTAAAGACATAATAACCCACTCTTTTCCACATGGTCTTCATATTCAGGTCTCGTCAGCGCCTTTGATTAGGCAACTAGATGTTGGCGCTCTATAAATTCCTGAATTGGACTACTTGTACAGACAGTAGTTGTCCAGTGGCTAATTTCAAGGGGGGGGGGGGGGGGGTGGGCTAATTGTTAAGGGGGTTGATTTCTTAGGGGGTACTAGTCTTTATACAACTTTAAGGATATCTGTCTTTTGTACAAGACCCAAAACAGATCACGTTTTAGGAGACCAGCAAAGAGAAATAGACAAGTAAAAATCTAGTGTCAGATACTAGTTTATCAAATAAGCATATCATCTGTTTGGAGCCAGAAGGACATTAAGTCATATATTTAACATTAAACAGTTAATCCCCTTCGGGTTCCGCAAAGACAATATTAACCTAAATTATAGCTAAAGGTAATCCATAGCATAGCATAGGAAAAATAAATAATCGGAAGGTCTGAGAAAGTAGGAGCACGCAGTATTTTTGTGGTGTACAATACTAACAAAATCTGCTGAGAATATACCGTTTATTCTACATTTTGCGAAAACTATACTGTACCTTTGAACTACAGATTAATTGATCAAACATTTACAACATGCAAAACCATCGACCAGCATGCTTAACATTCATGCACAATCCCATATGCAGAATAATATAATTCATGATAGCCATGCAATTGCAAGCCATTTCCAAGTTAAATTTACAAACATGCTACTGGAACAACATCAGATTTTATATGCAACAGGAAAATATTGACCTCATGTAATTGTTTGATGTATAATCCTTCCACAAAAAATCTGAACTACATAGAAACATCTAGAAGTTTTTTTATCATCTGTAGATAGCAAGAAGGACATTAAGTCCCCAAGATTAATGCCCTTTTGGCATGGAGCAGACATTATTAGTTTAGTTAATTAGAATCAGTAATTAATATGAAGATTGCTAAAAGTATTGATTTCTTATATTCTTGTATGTATTTATAATTTTTAAACTGAATTGTATGAGTCTCTGGACTTTTTATTCAGTATGTTTTTATTTACAATAAACCAGAACTGAATTATCGTGTTTGCATACAGTTGATACATCCTGTACTCTTTTTATTTGAGTGCCTGATCTTGATTCCAAAACTAAAATATCATACCGGTAATCAAATCAATGCTCCAAGGTGGTGTTTAGAAATACTAACCCCTTTAATTGGAAATTTAAAGAAATGCAAATGTCTCATCAAGGTTTTTTGCCCAAAAGTAGTTTGTGTTTATTTTTGGTGGAAGGATTATTTGATAGAAGCAACATGTTTTCATAGTCATTCTATACCGAGATCAATTTGGGTATTTATAGACATTTTTTAATCCACATTCAACCACATAGCTTATGAAAGTAATTACAATCATCTTTGTTGTGAAATCAGGTCTATTGTCTTTTTATAAACTTATATGTTGTTTGGAAACATTAATGTTATCTCATACAAAGAGAGAAAGAAAATTGGAACATCCTTTGGGGCCACAAGGACAGACATTGGAGGGTCTCCCATCCTTAAATAGGTTGGGAATGTGGGTTCTCGTAAGGAAAAAGCATTGTAGTATGTTGCTGAAATACCCAAAGTGATCTTCGGTATACAAGATCTTGTACACTATTTGTTTTAAATATTTTTTTTTTTTTAAATAGGCAAGGTACTTTTTTAGGGAAAGTTAAATATCCTTGATGCATTTTCTCCCCTTCTTTTTAAAATTTACTTTTTTTGATTTTTTTAATCTCAGATTTTGGGATGAAGTTAATTCCATTTTCTATTTCAATAAATACAAAGGTGACGAAAAACAACAACTTCTAATAAAGGCCACGAAGCAAGGATGTAATGATTTTAAATAAGGTACCTCATGATGTGTGTGTGTGTGTGTGTGTGATTTTAAAAGTGTAGCATTGTTGGGGATACCACATCACTGAAACAAATAGTGTACATGATCCAAGAAATACTCTAAAAGGCAGGCTACATGACTAATTATTATTATCTAAGCTGCCAAATGCAGTCGGACCATATTTGGGAATTGAATCTCACTGAACTATTTGAATCATCGCAGCATTTTTCATTTAAAGTTTGAGAATATCAAAGCTATTGCAATTTACAAACTTTGGTTGTTTCTGTATTGCAGTTTGAATTTTGCATCATGCTTTATACAAAGAAATTTTGTGCCAATTTTCGGTCAATGCGAAGTAAAATTTGAGTTTGTAAAGAGATAACTTTTGTGAAAATTTTGATTGGTGTGAGAGGATACATACAGAATCTGGATCGGTGGCGTATTGGCTAAGCCAACTCACTGAGCCTGACTCCCCACTGGACTGGGACTTCTTACGAAAGATCTCCTCCATCTAGAGAGATAAGAAAGGGTGAATGAGTGAGAGAGAGAGAGAGAGAGAGAGAGAGAAAGAGAACGGGGGGGGGGGGGGGGGGGGGGGATGGCATAATGTGGGGAAAAGTGAGGAAGAGAATTAATAATGTATAAGTAAGAAACAGAGTGCAGTCGAAAGACAGATATATAAAATCAATGACTTTTAATATGAAATATAATTTAGAATTAGTCTATATATTATTTGTTGCTTTAATTCTTATGCCACTAAAGACTGAGCTTGAGAATGGTTGGGTTTAAACCTACCAAACATGAACAGGTGTTTTGAATAGATTTAAATGCATACAATGAAAAAATACTATAAAAATTATATATCTGAATAATCCCATTGACATTAAAAAAATTATGATTATCTAACAAAAAAGAAATAATAAGTAACAAACCAGAAGGAATTCTTTGCGATCGATGCGGTGATTACCATCTCTGTCAAACATCTTGAATGCAATCTCATAACCAGCCCGTGGCTCTGTAAATAGAGGGGACAAGAATTAAAAGAAAAAGCAAATTGTTAGTTTATCACTTATCTAAGAAAGAGAGAAGAAGAGAGAGACAGAGACAGAGGCAGACCTACTTATGGAGATAGACGGATGAAGAGACTGAGAGAGAGAAAAACAGGTGGAAGGAACAAACGTGCAAGAGAGATGGAGAAGGGAGATAAAGAAGCAGAGAGTGAGGGAAAAAGGAGAAAAATGTATAAAGAGGAAGATATACAAAAAAGAAAGCAGTAGTAGTAGTAGTATCATTTTTTTAATAGTTCTATTAAGAAGTAAGAAATAAAAAAAATAAATACAAATAAACAATACAAATATGTACAAATACAAAGGAAGTGCCTGGATTGCCCATATTCAGCCGTGTGGGGCATGACATGGGTGGTGTTCCACGGGGTCCAGGAATATACAAATATTACAACAAATTTAAAAACAAAAACCAGCAAAGACATATATATTCATGATAATCATAATCGTCATATATTAAATTACAAAATTATGATTAATAAAAGAAAAAACTAAATTGGGTACAGATGATGAAAGACAAAAACAGAGATGGAAATAGAGGCAGAAAGGAACAAATTGAGAGACAGACCTTCCTTTTATTTAGACAGCGATGAAACAGTCCTATAATAAGGATAATTACACTTTACACAAACTCAACACTCATCTGGACACTTCCTGTTTTTATTCAGGGTATCAACTATATATCTTGTTATACTCTTCCAGTTAAAAAAGAATAAACTGTTAAAATTTACGTTATTTTTATCTTTCTTGTATTAGGTGCGACGCCCACTTGACCTTTACAGCAAGTGCTAATCAATACTTCACGACCTTTGCAATTCTACATAACACCAACAGTCTAATTGATTATACCACTCTCTTCCTGTCACCAGAAACCAGAAACATTGAAAAATGAGCGAAAATCCGGAGATGACATCAACCGATGACGACATTCCACTTCACTTGTTTATGACAGCAGTTAATATTTTACCTGAAATAGCCGGCGTGATTGCGTTTTTGAGGCGGTGCTAATGAGTTTCGTAAACATTGCGAAAGCTCTGCTCATCTGGACCTTAACTTCTAAGAGGACATTGGTATTGATTCAGAAGAGGATGACTTAGATGGAAGAGTGGTGCTTAGAGTAGGTGTTAAAGGTTCAGTGCCTAACAATTCCAGTGACAGTTAGCACTGCCCCATTTAGGTTTTTCAACAGGAGCACCAACAGATTAAACACTTTAAATATGCTACCTGTAAACACTATACCAGAAGTTACACTTTGAAAACACAGGACAACACCCTTATGAATTGCACCAGTAAGTTTAAACACTACACTTAGGTTTAACAGATTTTTAAATGGAAGTAGACTCTTCCTCACGTGTGCTTGTATCATTTCAACAAATCTAATAAATAAAATCACTAATACTTTCTTTGCTCAAGTAACTTGGGTTTGAGAAAAAAGAACGGAAACACTATCTCACAGGTTAAAGATATAGAAAACAATTCCATTATGAATTTTATCCACTTTTGTATAGAAATTCAGGGAAAAAAAAGAGATTTTGATTAATTCAGATAGTAGAATTGCAATATCATCATGAAAACCCATTAAATCTAAGTGTATGCCTTTTTAGGATAATAATTTGAAGTTTGAGTTCCTTCATTTTTAATTGAAAAAGCAACAAAAATTAGTTAAACATGTTTTAATAATACTAAAGATTGGCTTAACAACCTTATAAAAGTTCAAACTCTCTCCCTCTTCTCGCAATAAAACAAAAAACGGAAGCCACCTTTAATTGAACGGAAGAATGTTTTTCAGAGACGTAGGCGGGTAGAGAAGGAGGAGCTGTGATACTTTGATAATTAGCAGGACCGTCAGGACGGACAATGATAGATTGTTGAGCAAATGCAAAGGGTCATATCAAGTTAAAATTAATTAGAATGCTGGCTTTCTTTGGTAATCAGCTGCTGAGGTGCTAGATCTCTTATCCAAAAATAGCTTCCACCCCCATCTCATTTCTCTGTCTTTCTTTCTGATCGGTTTCTTTGGGAGAAATTTTAAAATTCAAATCACAGGCATTTTCATTTTCTTCCAGTTATATTTTTTTGACACGTTGCAATGTATTTAAATAATTTGGACAGAGTATCAAAAGTAGATGCCTAAAACATTTACATTGAGTGGAAAACTTCCCATTATCAAAGCTCATGTACACTTTTTGCAAGCCCCTCCCCTCCCACCCCAACAAAAAAAGTCATCGGGTTTCTTTTATTTTAATTCATACTGAAAAGTAATACAAAGCTGCAGTGAATTATTGTTTCCCTAAGGGGGATGAGGAAAAAAAATGAACATTGACAAAAGGAATAATATGCCTACCCCAGCATATGATTCTGAAAGAATAATGGAGAGAACATCTAAATATCACATACATGTATCTTTTCATTTCATTTCAAAGACTTTATTTTTCTGCAATCAAACAAAATCAGTTATACAACAAATATGGATAATTATATAAAACATAAGGTATGCAAACCATATACAAAATATAGAAACAAATGTATAATACATGAGTAAGAGTAAATTTATATGTTGGGCCATTGCGTGTATAAAGAAAGAAAGCAGAAGGTCGCCGTTATAAGCAAAAGCTTTGCAAGTACCAAATCAAGTATCAAGTAACCCTTGACCTTTTACTAACAATAACAACACATTATACTCAAAACAATAGTTTCACATCTTGAAAAGATCTAGCATCATACAACAGATGTTTTGAGATAGAAGCTGGAGGCATTTGATTGATTTCACTTGTTATTAAACAAGTAATCAGTACAGCATGACACATGAACTTTGAACTCTGACCTTTTATCAAATTAAATTCAAAATGGCAATAAAAAGTCAAGAAGTTCATATCTATTGAAGATGTAAGCAGTGATGTTGTAAGATGATGGGGTTGAAGAAAAAAAAAGTTTTAGTACTCATGAATATTTGCATTTGTGTGATCAGTAACCCTTAAAGTCTAAACTTTGACCTGAATCAAATGACACTAGCACTAACACAATGATGCAAGCTACAGGAGCATGTAAATTTGTGAAATAAGAAAAATATACGGTGAAAATATCTATTCATTTAATATATATAAATTCCTTCAAAAGGAAGGCAGACCCAAATTGATATAAGAGACTGTATGTTTTGAGATTATCCAAGCAAATAAAAATAAAATAGAAATTAATTTAAATAGTGAATGATGTGAGGAGGAATATGATTATGGTCAAGTGAATATATTTAATTTAGGATCATGAACTCAACATATGTCGGCCCAAAAGTTTTGGTGTTGAGCTGCTAGGCATGACTTTTACTTACTTGTGAGGATGCACAGGAGAAACAGGTATTCTGTGTAAGACACGATACCTGTGAATAAAACACAAATAACAAATCAATTTTGTTAGAGTTTTCTGATTATGTAGTTTGTCCATATATATGAAGAACCAGTAGGGTGATAAGTCTATTTGATATGTAAATGCCTTTCTGGCTCTCAGGAGATCATCTGCTTTGAGCCAGAAAGGCGTTAACTTATATACCGGTACTTTAACAGAGTTACCGCCTTAATGGCTCTCAACAGACAACATAGTAATATAGTATACTAACCCCACCATTATAAGAGAATACTAATAATATACAAATACAAAAGTGAAAACAATCTATACACACATTAAGGGAAACATTCTCAATAATGTACATTCCCTTGACGAAACCTGACATCACACCCAAAAATCTTTGCCCCCCCCCCCTCACGCCTCCTTTTATGACCCCCCCCCCCCCCCCCCATGACAAAACATGAGATCACCTGCCAAATATTGTGTTCTACAAACATTTGTTAACATAATTTGAAGGTAAACTAACATGCTGAAGTATTTCCTGTCTACAAGCCAAATACCTGGTGATGGGATAGCAGGAAAAAATTGGAGCCAAACATTTGTTAAAGGGGAAGTCCACCCTTATATTAAGTATTTAAGAAAATCAGAAAAATGAGAGGAACAGGCCGGTGAAATTTTGAGCAAAATCTGATAAAAAATATTAAAGTTATGAATTTTGTTATTGTGATTATACAAACACAAACTGGCAACTCTGTGACATATCTTGCGAGGCTCCTTCCCATTTGCTAAAAACTATAAATTTCCCTAAAGAAAATGTTTAATCATACATGCACCCTAATATAATTATTACAAATATGTTTCTATACTACCTATGTATGAAACAAATCTATTCTGTCATCAATAACTAAGAAAATCAAAGTTTACGAAATTTCTGTTCAGAGCAAATTAAAGAAAACCTCGCAAGATACGTCACTATGACAACTTCGCTCTCAGCCAAACAAATGCCCTGATTTCAGTAACTTATAACATTCATTGTTACTTGTTATTGATAAGAACTTTTATGAAACGGGGCCGTGATAAGACAACTAGGGATGTGATGTGATGTAACTGAGCCAAATAAAGTACCCTCTGAGTCTTGTAAGGCATAGACAAATCTCTAAGATACATCCTTGTATAGCCCCCACTACTGGCATGCAACTGGCATGAGCTGTAACTAATTGGGGGTCTTAAGACAGAGTCACCCTGTCTGCAAATCAGTCCAAAACCAAGCTTACAAATTGTTTCTTAAAACAATGTCTGTAACAAGGTGTCCGTCCGATCACAAACGAATAATACGGATGACTGTAACACCTGGATCAACAATTGTTTCAGTAATTACCGTCGGCATTTCAACAACCATTTATGTAAAGTCTATCATTGCCGGCTATCGCATGCTCTTTAGCAGCTAAAGGTATACACTCACCCCCTTCCCATTTCTCTCTGATTCCACCTGCTCTTACCCAAACCACGAGACTGGCAGTTGGTGTCTACCGCTTAATCCTTGAGCAGGGTCGCCTAACGATTTCGTGGTTTTCGGGCTAAATTCACGCGTTCTGCAGGATGACCCCTTTGTTTTCTCACGCAACCTTCCTATATAGTTTAATTAGACTGTCATATTCAGCAGTCGTTTTCATACAGAGTTTGCCATTCCTTTGACGATAATAGATAAGGCAATGTAATCTGGCTTTACCTGACTGATATTTTTACTTGTAAGTCAAAGAATGTGAGTGATCACATTAATTTCACTGGGTGAGTCAACTTGAGTGATGGTATTCAATAGAAATTTATGAATGGCTACCAACCTTTCTTCACAGGAAAGCACTGTCAGTGATTCAAGTGCAGTAGTCACTATAAAATATACTCCTTTTACAGGTGTTTTAAATTTGTGAGAGTTTCCTGCTCAGAAATAACCAAATCATGACAGATACAACACTTAATTTTTTACTATTTGTGAAAGTTCCTTATGCAAACATAGCAGTTATTCATGAAGATTTCTGTCACAAACATTTTCAGTTTTAGATTTTACACTAATGATATCGATAACCATCAAAATAATAAACAAAAATTTTACAACTAAATGAGTAAGAAATATAACTATAAATTACTACACACAAGTGAAATAAATGATATGTTGGTAAAGTATTGTTATGTATTATTCAATGCATTTTATTTTTCGTTTTCAGAAAAAAAGTACAGTTCAGCCTAGGCTACAAGATAAATAAAATAATAATAAATATTAAATGAATAATCTTCAACAAACCTTTGTCCATGATAGAGCGGAAGAGGTTCTTGGTGGACTTCTTGCGGCTAGGAGTATTCTTCAACATGTTCTGAACCTGGGCGTCTGTCAGCTTGAAACGACCAATACGGGCTGAAGAAAATAGAAGCAAACAAGATAGAAACAAATATAATTAGAACATGCAGATTTGATAACAAATATATAACAATAACAATATCTGTCTGAAATAAAATAAGTCTTGATTATAAGTAAAGAAAAAAATTCACATACAATATGATATGTATGCAAAGACTATATGAAGTTCATAGAAAATAAATTGTTAGGGTATGTATATAAAAAAAGATATATATATATCAAGGAAAACAACAAATCTTGTTTGAGGTCAGGAGGGTGATAACTAATATGATTTTACACAGAGTTAAAGATGAAGTTGAGTTGTGGTCATGCGATTGCATTATGAAAGAAACGGTGTGGAACCGACCAGAAAAGGTTGATCATCTAGCATATAAGAATGTGTGTGTATTGCAAGGTTCTGGAATCATCAAAATGATAAGAAATTTGGCCAAGTCTTGGTAAAGTTACAAACACTCGCACAGAAAGATGTATATGGGACTACACGAACACGTGGTGTAAAAAGCCGGCCCCCCCCCCCCCCCGATTTTTACGATGTTACATGCATATTTAGAAAATGAAGGCATTTGAAGAGCCATGCTTTTCAGTGAACATGTCTTAACTGATGTTCTTCCACACTTGCAAAATAAGAATGAGTAATGCTCACAAATTATTTTTCACCTCTTCCCAGAACTCAACCTTCTCTTTAACACCCTTCTGGCTCTCAACAGATGATATACTATGATTATATTTTTATAATCGATTATGTTTGGAAGTGCCTAGGTTGAAAAAAGTGCATGATGATTCATATGATAAAACTACATGGGGGATTTTCACAACTCAAAATAGACCACCAATATTATTACCACTCTTATAATGTCCATATGATGCGATATTGAAAAGGTTAAGTGTAAATATGACAAACCAGGTAGGAAAAAAGGGTGGAAGGGGCCTGTGGGCATAACTTGAACTCAACACTTTTTAAAAGCTCATATAAATGAGAAAATAGCAGTTGTACAAAATTGCTGTCTTTAATGATTTTAGACGCCCTCAGAGATTAAAAAAAAAAACTTATCAAAACATCTCCAAATCAACAGGGAGTAATGGGAAATGATGCAAGTTTAAAGTTTAAAATTCAAACAAAAAATGGTGTAAACATATACGTGTATTTTGTTTGGCATGGAGTTACCCGCGCTCCAGAAAAAAATGTAGTTCATGGTCTCAAAATTTATCAATAATGGACTCCCAAATTATAGGCCTTAATACCCATTACACACACAAAATATGATGCTTGTTCCGAATGATGACCAAAGGGAGAAACAAAAAATGTCCATTCCAAAAGCAAGATGGAATGAATTATGGTGAATAATTTCAGTGTAATATAACAGACTGCACTCATAATAACAATACAAATCAAGTATTAAATAAGAAAGGATAAATTAGTTGTTGATACCATTTAAAACTTGATATAAATGTGTGGTATCATTTACAAGTATCTGATTAGTTATGTACAATAATACATTGACAATGGGCTCTATCGAGAGTCACAAACTTATAAAAAAGGAGCAACCTAGACCTAGAAGGAAGTCATTAGTATTCCTTACTCATAATTATTCTTAGGTGACATGTCCTGAACTTGAACTTGGAAAAAAATGGTGGGGACAGCTAGCTAGAAACACCAATTTAAGTTAATATTTTGTCACCTCGTCTAAAAAAAAATCCCCAGTAGAAAAGAGTGGAAAGTCCCTAAACATTACACATTCAAACATGGCGTGACTGAGCAACTGTCATCGTCACGTCACTCATTAACCCTGTCTCTCCCTCTATTTTTGTTTCTCTCTCTCTCTCTCTCTCTCTCCCCCCCCCCTCTCTCTCTCCCCCTCTCTCCCCCCTCTCTCTCTCTCTCTCTCTCTCTCTCTCTAACCACCAATCCTAGCTTAGCTCACAGACGCAGACGGCAGGGGGCGTGTCATCAGGAGTCCGCAGAGTTTGGATGGACAGACAGTGAATGAAGTAATTAATTAGTAATGCAGCCACAAGAAGGAGGACATAGTTATGTCGATTGTTTTGTGATCTTCTACCGATGTAAAGAAGTTGGCAGGGTGTTCAGTAAAGGGCGTAGGTTCAGCCTTTTTCCGGTCTGGTCAAGAGACATGTGACTTTAGGAAGACATGTGACTGAGGGTGGGGTGATAGGATGCTTTGAGTGTGAATCAGAATGGTAAAGACATTAACTTTTTATTTCATTTAAAAGGTACCCGTAATGCAAGGATGAAGGGTAAGAGAATTTAGAGAAAGACATGTGAAGGCATTGAGGTAAATACTTTTGAAACTGATAACAAGCAGTGGAAAATCTCATGACAGAACAAGAGAGCAGGAGAAAATAAAACAAGATAGAAGTGAGAAGTGAACATGTATAGAAGTCTGAAGAAAAATTGAATGATTTGTTCAAAGAACATAGATGAAAAGGAAATTTATACAACAGATATATATGAAAGATGAAAATAAGATTATTCAGAGGATGAGATAAAAGGATAAAGAAAAAAAAGATAGGAGAGAAACAGAGACAGAGAGAGAGAGAGAGACAGAGAGAGAGGGGGGAAGGGAGAGAGAGAGAGAGAGAGAGAGAGGGGAAGGGAGAGAGAGAGGGAGAGAGAGAGAGAGAGGGAGAGAGAGAGAGAGAGAGAGAGAGAGAGAGAGAGATATGTCTAGGAACATAGAAAGAACATACAGAAAGAGTGTGATATCAGAGGGGAAATAAGAAAAAGCAACAGGGTATAGAGTAACAGAGATAGAGAGAGAGAGAGAAGAAGGAAAGAAGGAAAAATGGGGTGAAGGTAAGAAGGGGTGGTTAATAGGTGGGTCTCCTATTTATTCTAACCCAACCAACAAGGCACTTGAGAACAAACTGCCGATCAAATACCTCATTAAGGTTCACTTCCTCAGAGCAAGCCTCTATTCTATTTCTGATATGAAAGGCGCATTATAAATACCAGTCGCTGACAAAGCACATTTGTGACAATTACAGAAACTCAAATCAAATCAGCACTGCTGATTGCCTATTTCCTTAATTCATGAACAACTGCAACCCTCAGCTATGATTATGCGATGAAAATTGAATCAAGGAATTGCGGTCAAAACGAACAACTGTAGGAAAATGTCAGTTTTCAACTTTCAGGGGATTTTCATGGTTAAGGTCATCGTTCATTTCTTCTGTCCAATTACAATGGTGAATGTGATGAGCATTATAATGGATGATTAATATTGCATTTGATGACAGTAAAGGCCTTCCCTATATTTACACTATGTGGTATGAACTACAGAGTTTAATGTGATTTTGTTCACAACAATGGAGTTTTCTCTCTTATTAAAATAAATACTAAACTTCACTTGCAGTGCCGAAGATTCCTAATCAAACAATATTTGACCTTTGACATACAGTGGTGCATCCAGGATCCTCTTCCAGAGAAGGGGAGAAAGGGGCACATGTCATAAAAATCTCTGACAAGGGAAGCATGAAAAAGCTCTTACATTTTTCAGGTGCTGGTTGTTTTAAACCCAAAAGCAAAAGAACAAGATAAATGATCTTTACATCATCCAGATACTTTTTAAATCCTGACCCCGATCCACCGATGTCATGAGACCCCTCAAAAACCTCAAATCAGCAAACTACGGACACCACTCTAATTGGAACTGCATGCAAGCATGGAAGGGTACATGCATGATGCAAATATTGTGTGAAATTTGAGTGAAATAGCTCCCTCTTGAGTTTAGTTCAGTTCAGCATCATCACATTGTCATGATACAGTACTGCATCCACCTGTGTTTCTGTGAATACAATTTCTCCATGTTCTTATTCTTTGAAATAAGTGAGCTATTGCAGCAGAAATACATGTCAATAGAAAATATTTGTATATGAAGTTGGAAGTATCAAAAAGACATTGAAGAAGTAAAGTAAACCACAGGACGAAATAATAAAAGGAAAAAAGAAAGAAAGAATACAATGAAATACGTGAATATTATATTTCCAATTGGATACAGTTAAAAGAACAGAGGGCACTAATTCAGTAAAAGTATTTTTTTAATATGGTTTGGCTGTAAATGATCTCACACACATTCAGAATGGATAATTAAATTGTTCTGAAGAGCATTAAAAAAAAAAATCCCCTCTATTCAGGGCTTTATCGGATAACACTGGTATTGACTCGAAAGTCATTACATTGGTTATTAAGATAACAGTGAGATAGATTTGAATATCGTATCTCCAATATCTTTATGAATTAAGGACAGAAATATATACCACAGATAGTATGAGGTACATTATCTCTGATTTCAAATCAGTGACTTATATACTTCCAAAGAAGGCATGCATAATAAATGACACTGCTACATTTAGAAGTATCACCATGAGGGGCTTATATGAACATACAATGCAAACAAAACAGCTCATAACAGAATCCCCTACAATGCTTTTTCTGCAGCACGGGGGCACAAGAAAGTCGTCTAAAAATGGAACTTTTCAATGTTTTCCAGCTTCAAGAGACCTCACGATGACATCATTTGTCTGTTCGGAATCCTTAAATCCAGGTGCGTGTAACAGCCAGCCTCCACATCCTGATTTCGGATGATGTCATAGCCAGCTAGCCAATGGAATTAAAGGTTACATTGTGTTCTAGCACCGGTAGGTGGAAAAGTGATTTCAGAGGTTTCAAATTATTTGTAAGTTTGGAAAAACATCCAAGTAGTAAAATGTCCCCTGACAGAAGTAAAGGTTCAACTTTAAAAGTTTTTTATCAACATTTTTATAAATTGTGAAATAGGAAAGATTGCACACCAAATTCATTTATAGATCTGGAATTTTAAAACTAACAGGCTATGCTTAGTGCATGAAAAAAGAGAGAGAGAGAGAGGGAGAGAGAGAAACAGAGAGACAGAGAGAGAGAGAGAAGAACTGTTAACCAATTCAAAACTTGTCTTAAGACACATTTATTCAAAACTGCTTTTGATGATTGTCTTA